AAAAAAAAAAAAAGCCATTCCGAGCAACAACAAAAAGTAAAATGAAAAAGCTGCAATGTGACCATTCTGACCTCGCCCCGCTGTTTTCAACCCGCCTGTGATTTGTGGGAAGGTAGCGGGTCATGCGTGACGTGTGCACGCCCAGCGGAATGGACTCCGTGCGTGACACCACCTTGGACTTGGCACTGGGCGCCCACGTCAGTCCCGCCGAGGTTCAGGGTGTAAGTTCTAGGAAGGTGCTCAGTGCTCTGTGGGAGAAGTTCGCCCTCACTTCCCAGACTCCTGGAAGGAAACCAGCTCTCGGTGGTGGCGACTCGTGTCACCGCACACCCTTAAGCGAGCTGACATGCCCCGCCAAAGCCTAGAGGACGTGCCTCGCTTAGTAGGTGTTAGATAATGACAGCAACGACCATTGGGACTGATCGAGAGCATATGATCCCAAAGCTTCTGTAATGACTCTGACCCTCCTGTGAAATTCCGATTTCAATCGTATGCGGGGTACAATAAATCTTTATCACACACACAGAGAGCTAATTGAATTGCTGTTTGGAGGCAGAAATAACAAAATGGGGGTAAGAGGCTTTTAGCCTGTGCTGTTTGGCAGTTAACACATAGTCCCTGAGGCTGTGGAGAACAGGAGGCCCAAAGCCAAGGCCGTGTGCACAGAAATGCTGATTTATTCAGACCCAGACAGTCACACTTCTCCGCAGGATTCTCATTAGTATGGTTAGTATTTTTAAATCTTACGCTAAAAGAAGGTATATAGCTCAGTAACTCGAGGCTCTTTCGATAAAGTCTCCCCATGCATCGAAATAAATGTAGACCCTTACTTCAGGTGAAATGTTTCTGGATTTCTTTTTCCTGGAGATATAAGTAGCCATGTCTACAGATCAAATATTCTATTTGAACTGTCCTAGGAAGGATGTTTTCCAAATGGCAGATGAACATGTCGTGACCTAAATATTCATGGGCTGAAGTCGCCACCGGAATAGCTCCACGACCAAACGTGACTCACTGCTCTGCACTGTGCCTGACCTCCACGGCACCTGAATGTTACTGATGGTAACACGCAGAATGACACAGTAATAGCTAAGTAAAAGTGCTAAGTGATGGGACCTACAGATGATATAACACGGCTCCTTTTCCCCCAAATATAAACTATATTTAGAAATATTCAAATGTGACATGATTACTCTACACAGGATGTCTTATCTCAGCCTCAAGGGCTTCTGCTGAATGGCTGGAGGAGGCTCTTTGGATTATGCAACCCAACTTCTAAAGCCATTCAAAGGATGAGATCAATCAGCGCGTGGATGTCTGCAATTTAAACGAGGAATGCTGGAGTCCCGTCTCCAGACCTTGTCTGCCCTGGGAGAAAGTCATGTCCTAGAGGATTTTCATGGCTGATTTTGCGATAAATTTTACATGCCCTGAAGACCTGCTATACTACTTGGAGTTTTGAAAGGCTCTTCTACATTTTTTTCAAAGAAATATTTACGTAAGATTGTATTATAGAGGAAACTGTTTATACCGTTGTAATAGGGATGGTCTATTAAGATTGTACTTAACCTCAACTGTTTTTCAGATTAAAAAGTACAGCTTTGACGTCCAATGTCTAAATGATTCCAAGTAATTATTTGCCTATGGCATATTTTTTGTCCTCAAAGATTTTTTTCTGTGGCTCGTATGGATTGTTTTATGCTGCTTAGTGCCATACAGAAGCACACACTATTAAGTGATAAAAACCAGTGCAGATGTAGACTTTATATTCTATAATTAGAAAAAAAAAAAAAAGACCTCACATTCACAAAGGAAAGCTGTTTGCAATCAAGCATGTTAAGTTGTATTGTCATGGGGAAGGAGCAGGTAACAGGCTGATTGGGTTAACACAAAGTTCACTTTTAAATTAGGTACAGATCGGTTTGTTAGTGGTAAATACGGAGAGTGTAGATATTCCCAGTCACGGATTTATCTGGGAACAGAGACATCCACGGATGATCCATAAATCCAGTCATTTTCCATCTTTCGACCTCTTAAGTAATTTACAGATTGACTTTTTGTATATTTTTATGCCTTTTAAAGTATTACTGTGCGGGGTTCACGACTTTTGAGGAAAATGCAGGCTGTCAACAGAAACAGCAACGAGGGATGTAGATAGCCCGAGATCTGGGAAGTGGTACCCGTAATTTTTATTCGACTGCAATCATCTGTATTGTAATCAATATTATTGCTGCTAGAGGCCCCACCAGTGGCACCGAAGGAGTTAAAGGGCATTCCCTTCGCACCCCAGAAGCTCAGAGGATGAAGTAGGTACGTGTGTTCCATTCACCGATGCCTCTGACCTTGGTCTGTGACAGAGGAAAGGCGTGTCTTCTCACACTGTTCCCATGAAGAAAAGGCAAGCGGGTGAGGGTGACTCAGGGCTGCTAGTGGCCTACGCGCAGCTGGATGTTTTTCTGAATGGTTCCACGTACACGCTTTGGAATCAGGAAGAGAGACGTTTTACTCTTCGCTAACCAAATAAAATCATCTATAAATCATATGCAAAACGACTTTGAGTAACCAGAAACTTAAAAGTCTAGGAATTAAAAGGAGTTCCACATTTTCCCTTTAACTCCTCCCCTTCCCCCCTCTGGGGTATAAACAAAGACATCTGCCACATCAAGAGTCTGGCTTGTTTGTTTTTTTTTTTTTTTTTACTGGTAACTGAATGCAGTCATTAAAGTTTACTTTGGAAGGAGCTTTTGAAATTTTAAAAATGACTTCTGCAAGTCGCACTATTTTAAATTTCACTAAAAATAAAATTTAGCTTTTTAAAGCTTAACATTTCTTTTAACCTCATGATGAAATAAAACATCGTGCTGCGAATTATAACCTATAATTAGCTTATTAAGAATGTTTCTTGAAAACTGCCTTAAACAGGCTACTAAAAAATCACTATTAAAAGACATATAATGATGGGTCCCCCAAGTTACTGGACCACCCCTAAGGAAAATATATGCAACTACACACTAAATGCTGTTTAATTTAAAACATAGAGTAAGTCTATATATACCCTGTCTTCGAACTCTTTGTAAGTTGCACAACTTCCTTTCACAGAGAAGTCTGCCAAGCCACTGATCAATGAGTACAAGCTGCAAACACCTAGAAATTTCTTCCTATGCGATTGCAGAGGGTAGTCTGTCCATGTGTCTCCTGCCTTCCACCTTTATCCGTTTATAAATTCAGGTTTCAGGACATCAACAAAGCTCGCACATGGCTTTCGGTCTGACTTCATGCCAAAGTCTTCCCAGAGGTAGGCTTTCCCCCCCCCGGCACCCCCTCTTTTGTCTTCAGTGCATTTCATTTGGCCCAACGGGGCTGTTTTCTTCCACAGCTTTCCAGAGAGCAGCCCCACGTCTTGACAAGTCTCTTCGATGGCGTCACTATCTACCGTTGCAGCATGGCTGGCTCTACTGCAAGCCGAAAAATAAACAAGTGCTTTCTGGCTGTGCTCTGCTCAGCTGTCCCCTTATCTTAGTCCGCCCCATCCAGTCGCCCTTCCCCAGTCCCGGGCACTTTCTTCCCCTCCCATCGGTCGCCTTTTTTGTCCTGTCTTTTACCTCCTGTTCTTCTGCAGTTCTAGCCAAACCCCAACCCCAAACCCACACATCCTTCAAGTCGCACTGCCCTTGGTGATTAGAGCAACAGCCATTCTAACCTTAACTTGCGAAACATTAAAAAAATGCCTCGGAAAATGTTCAGTGCTCCCAATTTTATTTTTATTTAATGCTAAAAGTTAAAGGAAAAAAAAAAGATACTGTAAATCTGACAAATGACAGAATGCAGGTGATATTTCCACAGTGTGATTTTAAAATATAATGTTGATATCTGAGATTACACTCACTTGGGTTGACAGGAGTTTCATCATATATAGAAAAAGTTATCACCTTCAACTTAAAAAAAAAGGAAAGGTCAAAAGGTGGCACACTTTTAAAATACTCGGTGGCCAAGGAAAGGTATATAGTAAAAGCTGTAAACCATGTGTACGTTCTCATAACTTTTAATGTGAGGCCACATGAAAGACAGTACATCTGTTAAATTCTATAAATTGTTAAAGCAAAGAAAGGGAAAGCTCCGACACCCCACCCCCTAATATTCCGAGTATTAAAAGCACAGCTGAAATGTTAGGATTTGCAATCTGATACTGCCCGTGTACAGTAAGTAGCTTTCTGACATTTTTATCCAGCTGTGGGGGATCTCCACACTGTCATCAGGTACAACAAAAGATCAAACCCATGTCCCAATGTTAACTTTTTAACTTAAGAGAATGCCAGGAAAATAACCCAGATCGACATTTCCCAGCTGCGAGCCTTCCACAAAGGCCACCCAGGGGCCAGGCAGACTCACACGCGACTTATTTTTTTAAGAGGAGTAACCTGCGCGCAACACACAGCCCTTTAAAGCTGTTGGTTTTCTCTCCCGGAAACTCCGGTCCAGAGAAACCACAGGTTGCCTTTCCCACAGCTGGATGGACTTACTCAAAACAGCGGGATGGTTCTGTATTAATCTTTTGGGAAAGCTTATCTGTATTCAGATTGCAAAACATACAGATAGCTACCACAAATTAGGTCAAGTGACTGATAAACTTGTAACATCTACGAGGTCAAATTCCAGTTTATAATAAAGTGCCTAGATACGCATTTATACAACAGACCATAATAGTCGAATTCTTTACAAATGTCTTTATGGGCATGTAAGACAGACTGTTTCTGCATGTGTACATTTACATAAGAGAAACCAGTCCGATCTGAGTCATAGCTACTCCAATTAAAAAAAAAAAAAAGTGTAACAACAAACTGGTTAATCATGCAGGTCTGCTTGTGACATAACGATGGCCGGTAAGGTGAATCTGCACAGCGTCGGTGATGGGTGCACTCATTCCAAACACTACGAAAAAAATACTGGACTCGGTGCAGTATCCGATTTCCAAGTGTTAATAACCTGACCATTAAAAAATATTTGAACGATTTCAAAAAGACAAAAACATAACCAAAAAAAATCACCCGAAGTGGGCAACAATCTATATTCTCAAATTAAAACAGAAGCAGGGTTGTGAACGATACACGTAACTTGTAATAGACCTCGAAGCGATGATTCAGCCTAATGACAGGTCCAAGTTACAAACACCTGAACGTAAAAGGACGTAAAATAGTGTTCCCGAGGATGTTAAGTCATAACAGCACAAAGGAGAAACCAGGATCGCTGTGAGACAACTACTCCTAATAACGGATGATTTATTGGTTTAAGAAAAAATCATTTGACTGATGCAAAATAGCGATCGAAAGAAATTAGTTTACAAAAGGCTTCTAAAAGTAGTTTGAGGGGTGGGGCCTGTCTATGATGTGAAACCTTTTCTTTGATTTTCACTAGTTTGTCATTGTTTTCCAGAAGAACTGTATTATTCACTCGGTATTTCAAACACATGTAAGAAGATTACAGGTTTCCTCCACCCCCATTTGGGCTGTCGCTGATGTGCCCACGGGCAGTCCTGGCGGCACCGGGCGCCGCCTCTGTCTGTCACTGTACCATACTGTATTCAGCACTCACGACAAAGCAGGGTGTAGGTGACAGCATCGACAGCAAAAGCGGTACAGGTAAATGATAAAAAACAAAACACGAAACAGAAACGAAACCAATCCCCACAATCTCCAAGTTCACCTGGCCTGTAACTTCTCTTACAACTCTTTTCAAAGGAAACGACACCAGCGACAACAAACAGAGCTCCTGGGGAGGGGGAGGGGCGCCTGCGCAGAGGAAGTGGCGCTGCGGGGCCGGGCTCCGCTCCCGCGGCAGTGCCAGCCCGTCCGCACCGCCGGACGGTATCGCCGCCTCCCGGCACCGGACCGTGTATTATGTAACCGACTAGCATGCAGCATGAGCATCTCACAACTGATCACGTGGGCAGCGGACAGTGGTCAACTCTGCCTTAAAAAAAATCCCCCTCCCCCACCCCAAAACCGGTCCTGAAACACTCTCGCAGCAGCGGCTCTCAGGCAGTCAGTCCTCAATAATCCACAGCTCAACTTTAAGAACAAAACAGAGAGTCACAATCTATCTTCCTATTAACCTAAGGACGATGTTTCGGGGTGAACTTGGTATTTCCCGGTGGCATGCCCACTTCACGACAGAGCCCCTTTCAATCGCTTCCTTCCCTTCTCCACCAGCTGGCCTCCGGCCTGAGAAAGGGGCCAGCAGTAAGGAACGACAGACAGTAAGGCAATCTTACAATGTCAGAAAATGTATTTGGCTTTTTTTTTTTTTCTTTTTTTCCCCCTCTTTTTAAAATAAGTGCATACAAATACAGCTAAAAAGCATTTCGGATTTGCCAAGTGCTCTAAAAAAGCAGCGCGAGTCACAGCCTACATTGACCGGTAACTGTCACCAGGGTAATAAAGCACAGAGATATGCTAATAACGTTAACAAAAGAAGAAAATGCCTTTATAAGTACATACCTTTTGTCGTCAAAAAAATATAGAAACACAATGTATTCAAAAAATCAAAATTATACAGCCATGTTTATGGAGTCTACATTTCCCTTGTCTTGGATATATATATGTGGAGATATAGACACAATTCGAGCAGTTCTAGTTAAGGGCGATCACCGGGTTTTTCTGAAACCGGAAAGTCACGAGTCTCTCTCTTTCTTCACTTTCACGTCTCCGGCAAGGATGGTCGCGATCTCCCCTTGCATAAAGGCCCAGGGGACGTTGGAGCCCACGAGAGGGCATTTTTCTCCACTGGGACAATAGACCTCTCCGCTGGCTCCCTGCTGTTTGATGCTTTGTCTGGAGCAAGGGAAGCAGAACTTGTGCGAAGGGACCGACGGGCACTGCACGAAGTGGGTGTCCTCCAGCCGCTCGTGACAGAGGGTGCAGCACAGAGGGGCGCTGGCTGCCAGAGAGGAGTCCGGGAGGCTGGTGGGGTGCACTGGCTCCAGTCCTCCCGCGCTGCCTGCCCCCTGGCCCCCCACCTCTCTGGGACCGAGCCTTCTTTGGTTCACAGAGGACGGAGAGGGTGGGCTGCTGCTGTTCCTCCTGGTCGTGGAGTGGACCTGGGTGGCCTCTTTCGAGGCGTGACTGCCCCCTGCACTGTCTGCTACCAAGATCAGCGCAGCCATGGGGGACTGGCCATTCTGGGCCGCTTCGGGCGGCGTGGTCCGGTGGGAATGAGGGGAGGCAGTGGGTGGTGGTGGGGACACGAAAGAGGATGTAGGAGTAATAGGGATCTTGAGCCCTTCCGTGGACGTGGACAGCCACGGCTGTGCCTCTCCGTTGATCTTGGGGGGCCCGACTTCGCCTTCCGGTTCTGGAGAAGGCTTTCTTTTCCTCGCTGTTCTTGCGACTGGAAAACAAAACGAACAAAAGGGGGCAAACAGGAAATAAATGACCACGCACTGGGAAGGATCTTTCGCAAAACCAAGACATTTCTGTTCTTTAAAAGGCTGTTCATAAACCCTCACGAGTTTCACGTGCACGTGCACCTTAAAACAGCCCTATGGGGCTCTCGGGCTGTAGGGCGGTTTCAAAAAAACAAAACCACACACAGAAAATGACACACACACAACCGCCTGGTTACACGCACGCACGCGCGTAACCAGCTGGAACTGTGCAGATGAGGGCCACGGTCCCCCCGACAGGTTAAGGGCTGACTGGTGCCCCGCTCCCATCCCAGAATGTGCCGGGAAGGGAAAGCCCTGTGTCAGAGCCTCTCACGCCGTCTGACTCATCTCTGTTGTGCTGCTTCAGCACATGAACACGTTGCCGCTAAGCACTGGTTCCGCCTCGGGCAGAGCAGGAAGTTGGGTGTTTGTTGTTTCTGGGCTGGGGTAGAATGGTGAATGGAAAGGGCACCCCCACCCGCGCGCTCTGCCCCCCTTTCTCCCCGGGGCCCCCTCACTCCCCTGCCGCCCCTACCTGCTTTAGACCCGTTGGCCCCGTTGGCCTCGAACCCCAACAACCTGCCTGCAGTCAGGGCCGGCTCCTTCTTAAACTTGCTCTCGAAGGGCCCCGAGTGGCCGTGCTGGTGCAGCGCCAGCAGCGTGTCCCGCACCGTCTTGGGCCGGTTGACCCAGTCCTGCTCTCCCGGCGCGCGGCCGCGCGGC